CCAACATGGTGAAACCCTGTCTCTACTGAAAATACAAAACAAAACAAACAAACAAAAAAACTAGCCAGGCGTGGTGGTGCGTGCCTGTAATTCCACTTACTCAGGAGGCTGAGGCAGGAGAATCGCTTGAACCCGGGAGGTGGAGGTTGCAGTGAGCCGAGATCACGCCATTGCACTCCAGCCCAGGTGACAGAGCGAGACTCCATCTCAAAAAAAAAACAAAAACAAAAACAAAAAAAACAAAAAAACCCACAAACCACCAGTCTAGCAAGTTCTCCAGTTCTGTTTCTGCACCATCAGTCTAGATTCTAGAGCAGGATCTGATATCTAGAAGCAAAAGCTGGCCGGGCACGGTGGCTCATACCTGTCATTTCAACACTTTGGGAGGCCGAGGCGGGCAGATCGCTTGAGCCCAGGAGTTCGAGACCAGCCTGGGCAACATGGCGAAACCCCATCTCATTTTTTAAAAATTAACTAAAATAAAAGAGAAAGAAAATAGAATCAAACGCTCTTGAGCTCCGTTCCAAGGAATGGAGCCCCTGCGGTTGTGGCCAACGCCCCACACACTTCTCAGAGCTGTGGCTGGGCCCTATTTATGGCCACTTTGTGCCAACCTCAGAGGCGCCCCTTCCTCAAGACCTTTGACTGCCACCTGCTGGAACCTTGTAGTACTGCAAGATTTGAGATGTCCGCTATATGAATGGTTGCAACCTCAAACGTGGTGGCTACTGGCAGTGCTCAACATGCAAGATCTTTCTAATCAGATTTTGCTGACACCCTCCTCCTTCCAGAATAGAGACTCACAAGCCATCCTTCTGTCCCTCCAGGAGCACCTGGGACAGGGGTTTGCTGGCAGGGATGGTCTGCAGGATGCTGCCATCTGAGCTCACGTAGCCAATGGCCCACTGCCCCAGGCGAGTACAGCTGGGCCGGAAGATGTAGCTGGAGGGAGAGGTAGGTAGGATGGGGTGAGGGAGTGGTTACCACAGTCCCTTTTGCGAACTCCTAGTCCCCCGCCCTGTTGGGAATCCAGGTGTCTAAGTCCTCACCCCCAGTTTCCCATTCTTTAGGCAACGGCATGTGCTAGATCCCTGCCTGCCTCTATAGGTGATATCTGCTGTTTTTGCCTGCTTGGCTCTTTTATGATAAAAAACAGCCCTGTTTGTATTTGGAGATCTCTCCCTGCTTCACTGGAGTTTAAACAAGGCTGGGCTGACCAATCAGTGCATTTCAGGACCCCTGACTACAGTGATGGGAGTCTGTTCTGGGACTTTTGCTGGAAGCATCAGAGCAAGGTGCCCCCTTTCTTACAGAGGTTGCTAAGAAGGTAGGGTACACAGCTGGGACTTCTAGAAGTCATTTGCCACCATGAGGAGAAACCATGTTTGAGAATGAAGCAAACAGAGGAAAGCAGAGAAAGGGGATGAACAGGAACTGATTCCTGACAGTAGCCATTGAGCACCTGGATCTAGCCATGCCTGAAACCCACACCCTGGCCTTCTTTTCTTTCCTTCCTTTTTTTTTTTTTTTTT